AGGTCAGGGGTGGGGCATGTCCTATCTCCAGCCTTTTCTCTCCATAATTCTGGAATGTGCTGTTACCAGTCAAGCACAACAATCTACTCGATCCGCTTCAGTTTGGCCTTCGCCCTCTCCACAGCACCTAAACTGCCTTACCCGAAGTCCTCGGTGATCTTTTAACATCTGCTGACTTGTGATCCACAGCATCATTCTCCCAAGACTCTGTGACCTGTTCATTTAGGGTAACTTCCCTGGACTGGTTCTCATAGTACTTGCCGGAAAAGAAATAATTTTTTTGTCACTCCCAGGGTGCCCCACGGTTAAGTCCTCATCCTGATCCTCATCCTATGCCTTTTCCACCTTGCCCTCATTTTTTGACAGTTCCCTTTCATACACAGTGAAAAAGGAACTATGCTGTTAAAATGTGATAATCCATCCATCCATCCATCCGTCCATCCATCCATCTTACTTCTCCATGTATCCAGAAAAGGATCACGGTGACCCTGAAGCTCCAGTTTCCTGTGACCGTCATAATATGTGGTAGACATGGAGATAACTGGGCACTGTGGAGGAGGTGACTGGTTCAGTAGGTTAGGCCTCTGTGCCTGTGATCGGAAGGTGGTTTGTTTGAATGCCATGCTGGCCAGACCAGTCACGTCTCTACTGAGCCCTTAAGCAAGGCCCTTAACCCCCCCTCCCTAAAAAAAAAAGGTTCAGGGGTACTGAACAGATGGATAGATGGCCGTCCTTTGTGTATGTATGTCTCAAAGGAGCAATATCTGATATGCAGAAAGAACCATTCCACTGTACCTGTACTCATACTTGTACAAATGCAAAGTAAAGATTAATTTTATTAAAAAGAAAAACCATTGGAGATCATCGCTGACCTTGCTCCCCCCCTCGCCTCCCCCCTGTGTTCCTGTCTCTCAGATCGTTGGTGACGCCGTCGGCTGGGGCTTTGTGGTCCGGGGCAGCAAGCCCTGCCACATTCAGGCGGTAGACCCCAGCGGCCCAGCGGCAGCGGCAGGAATGAAGGTACCGGGGATTGTGGGATTGCAGACGTGACAGCCAGGCTTTATGGGTAATACGGCTTCGTGCAGCACGATTGCAGAAGTTTGGCTTGTTGTTGTTACTTATCCTGCTGATTCAGAGATGCTTTTTGCATATGTGCAGACAAATGATAGATTGACTTAAATTACGACTAAATCCCGAATGTTCCATTAGTATTACGCTCAGACTATATGAGAAACCTTGGGAATTTGGGTTTTTTAAAGCTTCACAAAGGAGACCTATATGATTTTTCCACACTGTTGCTAATGCCTACTTTGTGATGGTTGTCACGCTCGTCGGACTGAAACGGGTATGTTTTCTGGAGCGGTCTGTGGTCTCCCTGACACAGGATCGGCTGTGATTTGTTTTCGAGGGATCAAACCTCGTCTGGGGGAAGCTCTGTTTTGTTCACTAGTCCTAGTGTTTGGTTGCTGCTGAAAACAGAAAGTATTTCCTGCCGCACCTAAAGTCATAAACGTCCTGTATGTATCGTACGGTGTGTTCTTATGGATGGGATTAAATGCGGCCTAGTTGTTATTGGAGGTGCGTGCCTAACAGCCGCTGGGTTTATCTGCTCTGCTCATCTTCACGGCCACGTCCAGCAGCTGTTTACACGTGGTGATGTGCAGGCAGGGCAGCGTGGGATGTGTTAGCGGGGTACAGTAGCGTCTCATGTTCTCGCAAACATCCTCTCAGGTGCTGTTAGCAGGATTAGTGACGCACGCGGCGTCCTGCCGGGAATCGTTCCCGATCGCCGCCCTGCCTCAGGCGCAATCTGCCTGCCTGCATGCCGCCCCGCTGCGGCGGCTTTCCCACCAATCGCAACATTTCCTTCTTAACGCATTTATGGATTCTCACCTCCATTAAATGAATTCCTCACATAGCCATGTGATCATGGGAAATATAGAAATTAGCATTCACTATTGGGAAACATGGAAATTAGCACTCACTATTAGGAAACATGGAAATTAGCACTCACTATTAGGAAACATGGAAATTAGCACTCACTCTTGGGCAACATGGAAATTAGCATTCACTATTAGGAAACATGGAAATTAGCACTCACTATTGGGCAACATGGAAATTAACATTCACTATTCGGAAACATGGAACTCAGCATTCACTATTTACCTTTTTTTAAATTCCACTGTGCACATGTCCGCCCCAGGCTCTGTTTGACAGCAGCTTCCCCCAGGAGATCACACGGACAGTTTGTGCGTTAGTTACTGGGGTTTGGCTGCACATTAATGTTGCTTGTCAACAGCTGAGAAGGAGAGGAATTTAATTAAACCAGGACTATATTGTCTCCTTTGATAATGACCAAATGTGCAGTTTGGTATCCCAGAAAGTCTTTTGTTGGACAGCTCTGTCCTGTCAGTACCTGAGGTAGATCCCAGGAGCCTCTAGCCGTTGACAAGAGACAGATATATACGGGTTGGATTATAACATCCTTTAGTGGCACTTGTGTTACTGGGTAACAGTGATATAAACGAGTCCAAGCTCGCAGGTCAGGCTGCTAACCTGTCACGTTTAGGATGAAATATTGCTGGGTAAACATTACGAATGATTTCTACCAAATGCTGCTGTGCAAAAAAAACTGCTGACCAAATGCGTAAGGAAACATGTTCAGCTTCAGCAGCAGCCGGAAGCACAAGGAAGGCATTTTTAGCAGATTCTGGGTGTATTGCGCTGCATAGAGCCAGGAGGCCGCTGAGAGGGTTCAGGTCTCTCCGTCACAGTCCTGCTCTCCACCACACTTTGCTTTCTGCCTCGCTCCCGTTCTCCGCTGCACTCCCCGCTCTCTGCCGTCTCACTCCTGCTCTCCACCGCACTCAGCTCTCCGCTGCGCTCCCCGCTTTCTGCCTTGCTCTGTTCTCCAGCTCACTCCACGCTCTGCTCTTCGCTGTGTTCCCGCTCTCTGCTGCGTTCCTCACTTTCCACCTTGCTCTGCTCTTCACCCGCACTCCCCACTTTCCACCACGCTTCCCACTTTCCACCATGCTCCCCACTTTCCACCATGCTCCCCACTTTCCACCACGCTTCCCACTTTCCACCATGCTCCCCACTTTCCACCACGCTCCCCACTTTCCACCACGCTCCTCACTTTCCACCACGCTCCCCACTTTCCACCATGCTCCCCACTTTCCGCCTCACTTTGCTCTCTACTACGCTCCCGCTTTTTGCCTCATTCCCACTCTCCACCTCGCTTCTGTTCTCCGTCGGGCTTCTTGATCTCCCCCTCATTCTGCTCTCCGCCGCGCTCCCGCTCTTCACTGTGCTCCCCACTTTCTGCCTCGCTCTGCTCTCCACCATGCTCCTGTTCTCCATGGCCTGTCAGTAGCGAGGCTGTCCTGCGCAGAACGTCTGTGCAGAGACTTTTTGAGGGACAGGTGCTGAAAGGTACCTTTAAAGCTCACGCACAAGTTTACATTAAACATTTTGGGCAAAACAGCCAGGTGCTCGGGCACCTTCCAGCCCCCACCTTCTGCACGCGTCCATTTCCCAGACAAGTTGAAACCTAGCGGCCCCCACCTGCAAACCAGTTTCTCCTTTGCCTTGACGACACAGTGTCTCTAGACATGTTTTCCTGCCGCAACTTTCTGACTCTCTGTGCCCCCGCCCTTGATGTGAGTGGCAGATGTCTCCATGAGCCTGAACCTGAACCCATCATTGGAATATCAACCCCCCCACTGCCAACACGGTGTGACGACTTTAGACCGGATTGCGCTAAGTGGCTCCTTTAGCAGATTAGCTCACATGCATTTTAAAATATACAGCTATAGCTGTTTAATACTAATTGTCATACACCGGGTAGCCGTATATCTACCTCCGTAAACTTTGTCCTTTAGCCATTTAATTATGCAACACTAGCTGCAGGGATGCAGCAAAGGTTAAATCACAATAGTAACCACTGCAAAAGGATTCTTGGTCTGAGATCCCAGCAGGGAATCTGCAGTTGGATTTCTGTGCATTATTGCTACACAAATAGTCTCTGTAGTTATTGGCAGTAGTTATACAAAATGCTACTTTAAATGTTTCTGAATGTCCCTAAAATGTTTTTAACGTTTCAGAACACTGGCGTATTAAAATTGCGGCCAGCAAGTATTCACAGGCAGTTTCCCCTTTAAACATTTCCCCACCCCTTTAAAATTCCCATTTGTTGGTAGAAGTTGGCCTGTAAGCTTTGGCCACGAGCCAAGATAATCAGGCAGCCAGATTTCGATATAATTACAGTAATTTGTAATCCCTACTTGTAGCAGTGTGGGACAGTTATGCAGTGAGGAATTGCGGCATGTGTGGAATATTTATTTGTTGTCCAAAGCGCTGATGTACTTAATCATCTTGGGGTAATTAGATGTTTATTTGTGGTGAAATGCAGCCAGTGTAAATGCCCCCCCCCCCCCTTTTTTTTTTTTTACCTCCCAAGGTCTGTCAGTTTGTCGTGTCAGTCAACGGGCTGAATGTTCTCTCCCTGGACTATCGGACAGTCAGCAACCTGATCCTGACCGGACCGCGCACCATCGTCATGGAGGTCATGGAAGATACGGAATACTGAGCCGACCATCCAGGCTCCACTGTCTCTGCCCCCCCCCCCCCCCCCGAGGGCAGGACTGAGGGACGCGTCCACAGACCCCTACGGTCAACATCAGCTCACACCCCATCTTAGGTTTCACCACTGGAGGCCCCATCTCCCCCGAATTCAGGGCGGTCATCAGACCGGCGCCCCCCTGTGGGGGACGTATGCATAGCAGACAGAGCGTCGTTCTGCCGTGGCATGTGTATGCAGTGATTGTGTAAAGTCATGTGATCTGCCTGTGAAACAGGGAACATGGCGAAAAAAACTGTTGTTGCTAAGGAACTAACTGAAAACCCAGAACTAATTATAAGGTATACAATGTATAGTGCTATTTAACGTTTTAGGGACATCTCTGTCAACACCTCTGCTGACACCTCTGTCAAAGTAGAGTAAGAAGAAGCCCATAATATTATTGGATGTCAGAAGGGAATAATGCAAAGCCAATAACGATTGCACAGAAATGTGTGTCGCAGAGATTAAGATTAAGATTAACTTTATTGATCCCCTGGGGGAAATTCTGGTTCATGCAGCAGTAAATCTATTGCAAACATGCATATAGTATCAAACAGACAGGGTACAGAGATGGTGCACATAGTGCAAACAATGTAAAGAGAGATGTTTCCGGAAAGGTGTGGTGGTCGTCACTGTGCCGTTTCCGTCCGGTCTGTTCTGAAACAGGCACGCCGGTATGATGGAGTCCGACACGCCGCAGACAGGCCTTTCAGATGCAGCCTGAAACGAGGCCCAGCGAGGCCCCATGCTGAAGATCCTATCTCAGCATGGAATTATAACCATGTGATAGGACCAGTTCGGAAGCAAGGCTGTGAAAAGCCCATTGTCTTTTCTGAGGGACCGAAGAGGGTGCAGTGAGACGTAGGGGGGCAGTCTGATGTGAAGGTGCCACTGTCAATTGTCATGGACCCCCCCAGGCCTCGTGTAATGTTAGCTGTCAAGGCAGGAAGATGACTGGCAGTGTGGCAATTCCTGCAGCCTGCGATGCGAATCTGCAAACGCGGCGAGGCTAAATGCGACTGGCTAACTCGGAGAGGGATTTTAACCTTTGCAAGTAACACAACGAAATTCGCTAGATGGTTATAGCGCCCCCTCCTGTTCACACCAGAACCATCTTCTCGCTTACATTTTAGAGCGCAGCTTTTTGCTGAAATTTGGTAGAGCAGGTAGTGCGTTAATACGTTCTTATGTTTCACGTTGGCAATAGTTATGGAAATTTACAGGGCGAAATGTTAAAGGCGAATCAGTCATGCAGCGTGATTAATGTTGATTGTATGTATTTTGTTGGAAAAAAAGCTAGAAATGTACTTAGTTCGAGCATGGATGCATATTATACATTCAAATATTACTAAATATGAAGCGTAAGAGTGATATTTGTATATATTAATGCTTATGTGGATGTACTGTGTAAACCTTGCTGACACTAAGCACTTATAAATTTATCAATCAGCGATGATTTTCAAAATCACTCCTGAGTTTTTTTCCTCCGCGCACAATACTGTACTGTAACTGTACTGTAACTAATGATGCACCGACTTCTTAGTCTGGCCTTGACCAAAAAATAGGGAAGGTCTTTACACTATGATTAAAGTTGCAAATGTTCGTTTTAGGTATGCACGCCTCATTTAAGCAGTCATTTAATAAATATTTACTTTGCCAAAAAAAGACTAAAGCTTTGCTACACTGATAGTTATCGTAGCAGTAGCAGTAGTAAAGATGAGAGCTAATGCTTTTAACCCTGAGTTTCATGTCCAACATCACTGCAGAACATCATAGTAGTAATTAGTAATATCATTAGTAATACCATCGTTAACTGTAGTAATACCATCAGTAGTAGTTGGTAGTACTGGAGGTACTGAAGATGTATTCAAATAGTCTTTTTTTTTAGATTTACGTAACAATTCAAAATGGGTTAGGGTGACGTTTTGCTTGACATATCAGTTTTTATACCTGGTCTCTGTCTTTTTTTACACGGCTGCTGAATACAAAATAATGAAAATGTCTGGTTGGATAGAAGGTGGCACGCAGGTCCATCCTTTCACAATAAACTGCTCTAAATGTGGTGTAAGAGTACTGCCCGTCTTGGCATTGTTCTGGGTACCTTACTGGTTCCAGTAATAATTAAAAGGGAATTGCAGGTGTCCCATTAATGCCTACTATCCATCATATCGTGATCATATCAAATATTCACAGTTTAGGTGAAACAAGTGACAAAGCAGCACGGATGACAATCTGACGCCCTTTAGTCTTCAGTAATATTTGTACACGGGTTAAAATCCTTTGAATGATCGCAACAGGTTTCCTTCACGTGAGTATCAATGCATACATTTGTATAACTAAACAATATAAATGTTTTTCCTGATATGTCTACATTTAATCTGATATTGTACTTTACTGATCTTTCTGGGGTGCAGTATATTACAATGTTTGGATCTCACTGATTTGTGATAATGAAAGAAATATATTCCACGTCTTGAATTTCATGTTACATGTGTTTTTTGATTTCCATTCAAAATCCCATTTTAAATCGCAAATTTCAACCCCTTTTTCTCGTCTCTGGTAGCGGTCTGGTTGTTGTGTGTAACATTTTGTTAGCTGACGAAATGTTTCTTTTTAATGTTTTGTCACTGGATTTGGATTTTGTACTTTTTAAAAATCTTGAGTGAATTTCAGTGAGGCATTTGTTAAAAACAACGGCCTTGAGGAAAATTTCAAAATTTCAAATCATCCTCTTTACAACGAGTCAGACTTTGCATACAATTTAAAGCTCCTGTTAGACAATCAGTATTTAGAGGTATCACAGTTCGGTATTCTGACGACAAGATGACTACTAGATATCTGTCGTGAATCTTTCATGAGCCCACGGAAGGCATGTAGCACTTACCTTGTTAAAACACTTGTGTACAGGAATACAATTTGTATTATTGAAGGACAAATGTGTAAGGCTTCTTTAAGTTTCTTACAACGTGTTGACAATGCAGACATGTTAAGGTGCAGCTGTACTGTATTCAGCTATGAAGTCATTCATGCTTAGAGTTCATTGTTAGGTGTTAGATGTGGTTATGATTCATAACTGCTCATTATTACTCTTGCAAATAAACTCAGCATTTAAATTTCTTTTTATTCCTTATGACATTATAATGCGAGTATTGGTAATAATGAGTGTTGCAGGGGGTCTTTGGGCTGCGCTGTTGCATTGCATGTCCAGGGTTGGAATTGCAGCCCTGCCCAGTGTGTGCAGACTGCATGTCCTTCCTGTATTGCGCGGGTTTACTTTCCAGAAGGAAAGACGTCCAGTTAGACCAACTAGCTTTGCGAAATTGTTAGTCGTGTATAATTATGTGTGTATGTGTTTCTTGTGATGGAATGCCCCCCATCACACTTTTTTTTGTCTGAGCTGAAGTCAAGAAGCCTAACCGTCTAACACTCCTGCTGGTGAGGTTCCTGCAACTGCCCACCTCTCTGTCATGTTCCTTGTTTTTGAGAAAGAATTTTTCAGAAAGTGTGGGATGCTTCAGCTAACTGTATAGAGTAGGGGAGGGGTGGCCAGTCATATCCAGAAGGGGTACTGTTTGCTTGTTGTTCCTGCAGCTCCCTAATTAGAGCACTGACTGGCTGAAGAGTCCTCACACCTGGGTTTGAACAGCTGACCTAAAGGTTATCCCAAAAACCTGCATACACACCGGCCCTTTGCAGATAAAATTGGCTACCCCTGCCATAGACAATTTACTACCAATTAATGATATTGCCAGACTATGTCTCACGGGTAAGCTCTTGCTGTAGGACAAGCCATTCATGAAGGTTACAGTAACTTCAGTCAGTCAGTTGGCCGCTCTGGGTCCCCACTCACCAGAGTCTCCACAAGGTGGCAGTGTTGTATAATATATATACTTCATCACGTATTGTCTTCCACCAATTCTGGCTATATTTGTATTTTTTAACGAAATGTGAAACTTTGAAATATTAAGTGGAACAATAACCTGCTATCTGTTTTAAGCAAAGGCCCAGCACAGTCCAACACTTGCTGAATGATTTCCATTAAATAAACTAACTTTGGTTATACCTCCTAAGACGGCGGTGTTGCTGGGAGGGGAACTGTCACGGTTTCATTAAGAGTAAGTGTGGGGAAACGGGGCCCCTTTGTCATGCCTGTTGATCCAATGTGGATATGCAGCCCACTGGTCTAACTCTCCAGAAATCCGGGCCCCTTGGATCGCTGCGCTGGGTGGGAGTTGGCGGGTTCGTGGAGTATTTTGTGAGCCCCTTCAGACTCGCTTTTTGGAGCAGGAATTTCAGGCCTGGAGCTTCGTCCCTATCATAATTCCTGGGGCTCAACCGAGGAATTACGATGCAGAGCGGGAAAGCCCGACTGCACCCGTCTGCAATCTCTCCATCCTCCCCCGGGATCAATTACCCGTGTCGGATGTGTTTCCATGTGCGGGGGGGAAAGCGTCCCGCACATCGACAGCTCCTACATCGAGGCGATGAGATTTACTGCGAACAAAAGGACACTTTATTTTTATTTTATTCCTGTATTTCGTTGTGCACATGGTTGTATTCCTGCGTTTCAATGTGTTGGCGTAAAACTAGCGGAACAGCTGGTACAAAGACAGGAAGAGTCTCGGCAGAGAGGAATAATTCACAAAAGCATGTTATCTCCAACGGAGAGAAATCAAATAATATAACAACAAAAAATAAATTACATCCGCCGACTTAATACGTCTCAGCCGTTTAGTACTGCTTGGCTTACGACGAGAGATGGAGTATTCAGGATGTATTAACATTTATTTACATTTTTCGCAAGATAAGGCGCTGTTAAGGGTTTTGTGCCATCGCCCCGGCAGCCGGTTCTGTGTAAATTCTGCATAATTGAAGTGTCAGGTTTAAGATTTATGGCACCGGATCACTTCTGCATTTACCTTGTTTAAATTTAGTTTTACTATAAGGCAGTTTAGCAGTTTGGGCATCGGAGCCCAACAAGTGCACGCATGTGTTCTCTGGGAGCCCGTTAGATCTTTATCAAACTTTCCATAACCTCTCTCTCTCTCTCTTTCCATATTGTGAGTTTCTCTCAGGGGTGTAGGGACAGCACAGGCAAGGCAGGTAATTTCCTCCCCCCCCCCCGAGCTGGGCCCATCACATAGTACAATGCAATGACAAATCTGCTTTACTTGTGGATTCTGTTTTTCACAGTAAAGTGAAAATAAAGGAATTATGTTTATTAATTTATCTTCGTTTAGACTCCACGCTAAAATAATGGTAATAAATTTGACCATTTGGGCCAGGCTGCATTGGGGGGTCCCATAGAGTTTTTCCTCTAGGGCCCCCATATCCATAGACTCCCCCCTGGTTTCTCTCTCAGAAACCTGGCCCCCACATTCGCCCCATCAGGCTCCAGGTCGACGTTGGCCAGCAGCTCAGGGTGCTGGACCGCTGCTGATTTTCCTGCTCTCTCTCTGTTTTTTCCCCTCTCTTTCTTCGTTCTGTAATCATCCTCACATATGCTGCCCAGATACATCCTTCCGCCTGCCGCTGTCTGTTTTATATTTTATGTTTTGGTAATGGAAATCATAAATCGTTACGGGAGACTTTTGCACACAGATCAGATCACGCCGTGGATTTAAAAAAATCCAACAGCCACCCCTCTCGCCTCACTTCCCCAGCAAACTGCTTAAGGTGGAAAATGGCAGGAGGGAACGACGGTAATATTTAAATGAAGTCATTGTAATGCAATGCCCTTGACAGCTGTTATTGACTCTTAACATGTCAGTGTGGTGGAAAGGTTGGCCCCAGGATGAGCCTTGTGCAAGACAGCTCGAGATATATGGCCTCCAAGAGGGATTGTGGCCCTTGTTATAGCGTGAGCGAACAGGGAAGGAGACAGTGCAAGATGACTGCTTTTTTTCCCCTGGTCCTCATGTCCACAGGATGAGGTCTGCCAGGGGTCCCACAGACCCCACAGGGGTCCTCACGTGCATTTCAGATCATAGAAAGGAGAAGAACAGAGGGTAGAGCTTTAAGGAAGGATCCCATGGGCCACCGTCCTGAAGATGCCTCTCCCACCCACAACTGCGCCAAGCCAGCTGAACCAGACTGCTGGAATCACTTGGTGCTTATCACTCTGGGGTAGACCTGGCGACAATCCCCAATAGGTTCACAGCCCATGGGCGGTCGCTGAAAGGTTCCAAACCCAACTCCATCTGAAGTATTGATCTGAAGTTATACATGCCTATAGTTACAGCATGCATGCTTAATAGGCTAAAGGGGCTCATTTCAGATTGAGAGCTTGTTTGGTAGCTTGGGGCTCCTGAAATGTGTCTGTGGAGCTGATTATGAAAAACGAAGACATATCAGAAATCTCTTGGCTTTGGATCGGCGCCACGGGCTACAGATGCTAGCCTCGGGTGAACCTGGTAGATGAGCAGCAGAAAGTTTCAGCTTGAAACTAGCCCTGCCACATGTCCAACTTACCGCCAACGCCGTAACCTCCTCCTTAAAGACCAGAACGCCCAACGGATGTTTCTATAGATACGGAGCTATGGTGAGCTTTGCAGGACATTTGTCTGGTGTCATCAGTTCGTGTTCTGAATGAGCCGACAGAGATGCTCATGAAGGTTCCCATCCTGAAAGAATCAGCGTGACCTAATTGCTTACTTTCCGTCAGTCCACACTTCAGTGTTGACATGGCATTTTAAAAATATTCATACACGACAAGGGTTTGTTCAAGTTTAGGATAACATAACATCACAGCTCTGACCAGCTGCATATTGCAAACCTTTTGCTAATACTACGTTTACATTTGGGGGGAGCATAGACACTGATTATTCTGGAATTTCTCATTGGGCGAGGCTTCATCATTCTGTAATGAGCTGTTTATGCAGACTGTAAGGAAATGGCTTTGCATAACATCTGCAAACTCACAAAGTAATTCAATAGTTTTCTCATAAGAAAAAAAAACGCAATGTTTCACTGACAACATCACAGCCTTCGACACCACAAATGGGAAACCATGTTCCCAGGGGGGGGGGCTAGATATTTTGCCCCCCCCAACCCAAACTTATTCAATTGTGTTCCAAACGTTTTCTCTCACTCTACGCCGGTCCTGCATGTCCATGTCATTTTTAAAAAGACCTCAGACAATTACAAAAATAGAAATTAAAAATCCCATTTCATTTTACCTGCTCACGCCTACAACCGACAGCATCCTGGGGATGGTTTGCAGTTTCGATAAGAAGCGTCGTGCGGACTGTTGGGAAACACAAACGGAAAAACTACGTACGAGCGCAAGGCTACAAGGCAAAAACCAAAAACAAGTTTCTGGCAAATCGAAATTCAGAATGACCTTGAATTGCTCACCCAGCGTCCTAGATGCACCATATGGGTAGGATCAGGGGACTCAGGATGAACTCCGAGGGGCTACTGTATATGTTTATTACGGGTTCAGGACTCCAGTTCATCCAGAGTGCAGATCAGGCACCAGTGGAGTGCTGGTGGGGGACGACGACAAGTCTCCTAGTGTCACGGGGGGAGTTAAGGCCACAGGCAGCACAGCGGGCAGCGACCTGAGCTGTCAACCAATCGCATTTCTTATTTGTGCAGTTTCGAGGAACCCAGCTGTTAAACCCGGAGTGAATAATTTAATCGGAATCAAACAAATTATATCCTAACTATGGAAAATGAATGAAGGAATGAATATTCTGACGTTTAAATTGCAAAGGAAAAAAAAACTTGGAAATGAAATATAAATAGTAATAAATTTAGGGTCTTTGTACATGACTGACTGCTACTGCTTACCTCAGTGAACACCGCAGCATATCAATGTCTAATAGCATATTCCTGGGGAATTCTGTGCATTACCCATCAAGCCCTGAAGTGCAGGCCAGCCTCTGGGTATGTATTTATTATTTTCTCAGACCTGGGTCATTTTTAGTCAACACGTGGCAAGAAAAAATAGATCAGATTAGGGGACTGTGTCGTGAGTCATGAAAAATGAACGCCCAATAGCATGCTGCACTAGCATGGAATAGCTAGAGAACTGAGCGATTTTTTCCCAAATGTCTGTAATTTTACTCTTGGGTGCATTTCAAGTGCTGGGGTTATTTAGTCCACGTTGTGGTAAACTTTTAAACCACAGAAAAACTATTTATTTAATGGTTCGAATTCAGCAAATGCCGTGCCGATCTAGCAGGACTGAACTGAAAAATTTGCTAAATCTGAACATAATAATGGTGTTTGTTTGCATACGGGCAATGACCACGGAGCAAAGAACTAATGTTCTGTTCTGCCCCAGAACTATATTATAGACCTGCTGTTTTTGTGGAGGCAACATGAAAGCTTGTTATGGGATCGCATCTTGTTTCGTTACGGTCCAAGACAAACCTGTGGGAAATCATTGCTGGACGTGTTCCTGCTCCCCGCGACAAATACCTGTTTTGTCATCATTGTTTTCCTTTCACGGAGAGCTGCTCCCGTTAACTAGCTGTATAGAAACAGCTGAGGCTTCATTTAAAAAACTGCGTACATATGAAAGGGATAGTGGATGCCGTAGACTGATGTCTGGCCAAATCCCAAACAACTCATGCAAGTGAAGAAAAAAAAGAAACATCAATCCATCCATCCAGCCATCCATCCATTTAAAAAATATTATTTCATCATCATTTTGGCCACAGGGGGAGCCAATCACAGGTAGCATAGGGCATAAGGCTGCATGGGATACACTCAGGACTGGATGCCGGTAAATGACATTAAATGATGAATTAAGGATTTAAATAACTACTGTTTTGTAATCATTCTGCCTAGAACTTCTTTTAAACTTTATATTTAGAAGAAGGAATATATCAATACAGAACTGCCCCACCCTACGCCTACAATGAAAGTCAATCAGGCCAGTCGTTCATCCTCGACGTAATAAATGTCAACACATCCTGCGTTTTTCACCTCGCAAAATCCCGCGGGTCTAAAGTGCTTGAGAGCCGTCCGGGTTCCCCCCCCCCCCGTGAATCGATGTGTGCCATCTATGAAATACACCTTGATCCCTTCACCGCGCATAATTGGGGGGAGGGGGGGTAAAAGAAATTGTCCTCCCCGCCGAACCGCTTTTAATACCTCATAAGGGGAATAAAAAAAGTTCGACATCGCCGAGGAGGTTCAGGATGAGGTGAAGGTGAGGGGAGGTGGAAAATGTGGCCAAGGATGTGAGCTGCGCGTATTGGGAGTCGGATGGCAAAGTGTTACAGGGGGCTTGGAGGGGACCGAGGAGACCTGCAAAAGCATGCAAGGGACATCGAACCTCGTATTTCAAACGATTTCAGATGGATCTGGTCATTTGCCTAACTCATATGCGCAATAATATTACTGGAAGTCTATATAGCAAAATAAGCAGGTGAGTATCAACAAACACAAATTAAAATTACCGCTGAAATCCGAGTGAATTTTACAGCCGGTGCGGCGGATTTCACGGCGAGAACTGAAATAAAATAGCATATGTACCTGTTTCAAAAAAATGTAAGCATCGTAATATGAGCATATAAAAGCAACAGCTGGCCAAAGAAACCTCTTCTGGCAAACGAGTGGAAAATGGGTGCCCCGAAGACATTTAAATTTTACCTTAATCTTCCCCAGCCCGTCCCATCTCTTGCAATTGGTCGCCCATGAGTTTTTTTTCTCCCACTTTGGGATGACAGGAGGTGAGGGATTGAATAGCCGGAGGGATGGCTGAATAGCGGCGGAAGAAACACCCACATTCGGCTCCAGTGTCGCCGAGCGGTGCAGGAGCGGCGGAGAGAAGCGGCAGGACGCGGTCACTCTCTTGGACCTTGGGAGAGGAGACATAACTTCGCAAATACATGACCTGACAGGTATGATATTGCATTATTTTTGTGTAAAATTTTGTGGATGCGTTTGTTTGTTTGTTTTTTTGTAGGATGCAATTGATTACGATTAATTGACTGCAAAAAAAGTATCGTAAATATTGAAGTCAATATTACTGTATCTGGAAAGTTACGCGAGCAGCTTTCAAATTCCCATGATGATATCGCATAGATCTTTTGAAAGGGGGTTAATGTAAGAAAGATGTGATTTCCTGCCAGTGTTTTCGAGGAAATTTAAATGAAGCCTGGTTTGCTATCAGCGTTTCTTATCATTATCTGCCACAAATCTTGGGTGAACCGAGTCAAAAATACCGCCCAAAGTTAAATCAGCACATGGTCATATAAAACAAAATACGATTAAATATTGTACATGTAAGCAAAATTATATATATACCCCTGAATTATATTCGTCACTCGAACTTCACCCAAAACACAACGTTATTATGGAGACAGGTTGCGCCTTGAAATGAATGCTTGACTGTGAGATGTTCAGTTGATGATTTATATTTAATGTATAAATCATTATATTGTGATTTTTTTTTTACTTTTCTCCGTTCAGGGTTACAGCTGGGAGTTCACCCCTAAATTTTCTGTAAATCTGATCGCCCCCCGTATTGTATCAGCATGTGGCTTTTGCTGGTGGCACAATACCATCCGATATAATAGGGCAGTCATCGTGATCGGAATGACAAAGCTGGCGAGCACACAGCCCTGTGAAGTTAATTTACCATTATGTGCTACGCATGAGGAAAAATAGATGGCAAATAAATATGATCGCGTTTCATTTAGACTAATTGTTACCGGCAATATTCGGCTGAACCCCAATATTTCGTGCGTTTTACAAAAAAGATATTTTTGCCCCGCAACTAGCTAAGCGAGCATAGCTGCAAGTTTATACACTTCAATTAAATTTTTCATTCAAGTAGCCTACATCCTGTACAGTATGTCGCCGAGAAAAATCCACCTGTTAAATTCAGTGCGGAGTTATAGTAGATATTGCTGGTTTTATTATTTAAAATATATATTTTAAGCATTTTTATAAGTGCTTCTGTATATATTTATCAGATATGTTGAGATATAAGTAGATATAAACGTATAGAGAGAGCTCAGGTTTTTGGATGCGCTTTACCTTTACGAAAATAGCCTAAAAGTTTACGTAGGCCGTGGCTGAGAAAGGCTTCAGGAAATCAGGAATTCATTCAAAACACTTAAAGCGTTCATTTTGAGATAAATCAGTACAAATTATTATATAAGAATATAATTGAATAAATGTAAATGAGCTTCTGCGTCACATGTATTCTGCCAGAGGTGTTTTGATGAGAAAGAGCCCTAACGCTGCGCAGTCGCTGCCTCGCTCGTCTTTTGTTGTCATTTATCACTGTGGCAGGTTGGAACAATCTGCCATGGATGGTCCGTCCATCAAAGTGAAATGTTCTGGTGCTGTTAGCACACTCTCATGGCTTCTGCTCCGCCTTCTGGCTAGCCTCTGCTGGGGTGGTCTCTGTTTTATCTTTTTATTTTTTCTTGTCAGGCTCGCTCAGGACAGCCATAATGATGCACGTTCTGGGACTCAGGATTAGCGCGTGGGGTCCACTCATCTTTCTCGGTCTCACTGTGTATTTTGCCCCAGTTCAGGGTCAAGGTAAGTTACTTTCTCAGAACCGTATAAATCCCGTGATGCTGTTGCGTCATTCCCAGGGGCGTTGCAAGAAATTCTAGGCCTGCTGACAAAGCGTTACCTTGGGGCCCCTGACGGACTAGCTGGGGGGGGGGGGGGTTGAGAGATTTCACTGGAGTCTGGGAACCCTAAATGTTCCAGGGTATCCACCCTGAAGACCTGGTCATTTCATAAACATTGTTTAATGTCGATACACAGATTCGGTCAAAATCTCTCACTATCAGGTCACCCCCCCTATCGCTTTATGGTTTATAAAGTGAGCACCACCTTCAAAGAACCACCTTTATGCATATTATCATAGCATATATGTGAATGCCAGTTCCATCCATCCATCCATCCATCTTCCAACCATTTATTTGTTACAAGGTTGCTCGGTGGAGGGGCCCATACATCATAGGTGGCATTGGACCAGTCTAGTTGAGGTGCCATTCCATCGCAGGCTGCACACACGCATACCCATGCGTGTTTGCTTCAGATCTGCATGGGACAGACACAGTCTGTAGGGCCTTGATGTGAAGTCCTAAATTCTTCTGTGAAATGCGTAAAAAAGCACGACGAGGAATCCGACTGGAGGATGCCACCCTCCAGAGACGCCCAGAAACACTTAATTGGCTGGTCTGGCAGATGGGAGGCAGCCTTTCTTCCCTGCTCTTCAATTAAGGGAGCAGGCGGCAGACGCAGGTTTAACCGTCAGTCTGCAGGGCCGTGTGAAGATGACAAGAGCAGATCAGAAGGGCTCAGGAGTTCAGGCAGGCGGAGGTGCACCAACGTGGCCATCGAGCACCCCCCCCTACCCCATTTCCCTCAGCCCTGGTCTTCTCTCTGTGGGAGTGAAATGCTGGTTTAGCCAGTTGACCTCAATGGTCCAGGAAGAAGGATTTCTGCTGCTATACGTCAACACTACGTGTGCGTTTGTGATGTATCTAATTCGCTCCACTCGCCGCTTTGTGCCGTTTGTTTCACTCGAGATGAACGCGACGCTAAATCGATGCCTTTCCGCATACCGCGCGAGGAAAGAATCTCCTTAGCCCGATGAAATGTGAAGATTTTGACGCATAGAATGTATTGGATGAAGCTCAATTAATGACTGCTGAAGAGGAGGATCTCAGAAAGCTGTGTGGTAGTTCAAAGGCCTTATAGAGTGAGGCTGATGCCGTCTGTCATGGCAGGAAATCATGGCTCGGGGAGCCGCTAAGAGATAAGGGGTGTTTAGCATGGTGGGTGCTGCGATGAGATAAACTGCTCATCACTGGGAAAACACCTAGCTGTCATGAGTAGCTAAGATTGCAGGAGGCAAGAACTCTTGATGGAGTTTCACATTCAAGATGGCGGCACGTCTCGACGTAGCCGCTTCATGCTCCGATAACCAAAGCTATTTTGCATTTTTTTTGTGTTCTTTAATCCAAAATAGACTTGGCTGTTTGTTTGTTTGTTTTTGTTATATACTGTTTACAACTGGTGGAGAATACGCACCACGTTTTGTTGTCCATGTACAATGGAAATAATGATATTCTATTCTATTCTACACCTTGCAACTGGAAATGAAATTTTTCTATATTTGTGCACATTTCATTTCTGATGTGTCTTGGCACCTGATTTCGAATGACTTGTATCAACAAAACACATTCTTCATTTTCTCAGTTATATTCTTAAATTGGCCTCCGATAATTGAGTGTCTTCCAATGTCGGTAAAAAACATTTGGAGGAGCAGAAATGTAGGTCTGGGTAGGAAAAGGAAGAGGAAGTGAATGGCAGTGGTGGACTTTAGAAGGACTGGGAATAATTGCAGTAATCATCTGATGAAAATGAAAACTCTTCAGGCCAATGAGCAGTAATCGCAGGTTGAAAGCACCTGCTTGAACGTCTGCCTTTTACAGACAATGCTCACGTCCTTTAAGTAATAAAAGTAGCTTCAAACTCTGAAGATGGAAGGTCAAACCAGGACAAAAATTCATTAGCATGTAAGAAATGTGCAATAGACAAGCAGTGCAAAAACGTCCCATGAAGAACATGGAGCTTGTCGTGAAAATTGAATTTCTGATGTTTTGCTGCCTTAACTACCTAGTCGATTAAGGTAATCCTGACTCATGTTTGGGTTACTGTAGACTTTGCCAATGACTGTTGTACATCCAGACCCTGTTTGGTAGCCAGCCTTGCGTGTTTCACGCGCGGGAACCTGACCTCAGTCCATCGTCGATGCCCCGGCTTATTCGCCGTGCAAGCCACCTTGGAAATTAAAAAAAACGAGAGAGTGAAAGGGAGCGACGTTTAACATCTGCTGGGGCCCTCGGAGCTTCTAAAAGCCCTAAAATGTCATCGCTCTCCTGCCATAAACGAATTTGTACGTTTTGTTTCCCCTGGCGGGGCTGTGAAGGAGTCGATGAGCTGCCGACCTCAGCAGATCCATCTGAAGCGTCTAGATAAATGACGTTTATGTGCTCGGAGATGCGCATGCAGGTTATCCGAATCTGGAATCTTTTCTTTGGGAAAAGAGATTTACCTCCAAGAATAAAGCCCAGCAGAGTACTCGTCCGCAACCTCAGGTTGGTGAGCTTGGCATCGTTTATCCTTGTTTTCAGCTTGTCTATGGATGTATCCTTTCCCAAACGCTGCATATCTGTCATATTTCCTACACGGCCTGTGCCAGACTTAGGACAGTGTCCTCTCCACGCATCGGCCCTGGACGTTCATTAATCCTTGCTATCTGTGCGTACGATGTGCAGCTATGCGAAGAGGCCACTGACGGCCCATCTCCCACAGCAGCTGCTCACAGACACACAAACCCAAGTGTTTGTTAGCCTACCGCAGTCGCCCTTTAGGAGGGCCTCTGTTCTCTTGGGGCTTTTTAATGATTTTGCGCCGTGACCTGCTGGTTGTATGGATGGTGATGCGTAGTTGGTCCTACTGCAGAAGAACAAGTCGCAGATCTCGGTCCCAGCTGTATAAAAATCCATACCCCCCCATAACACTATCCGGTGCTTGTAAATATTTGCTACTCTTTGTCCTTCCTTTTATTGAATTTGTTGCAGCAGTTACACTGTCGTTGTGTGACGGCCCGTAAGTAAATGCCAAACCATACTGTCACCAGCTACTGTACGTCCTTCGCGCTACCAAAATGAGTCCAAACTGAGCAAAAGGGCTATTTTCAAGCCACTCTGCAGCTAATTTGTACTCCGTAATGTGACTTGCGTAAAGACATCAAACATTTCCTGAAGATGAATCTGCTGATCTTCAGATCAGAATGAAATATAAATATTATGATTGGACCATAAGGACTAGATCGCTATATCATATGACTCATAGCAAGAGGATATGACTTTTCTTTCTGTTCAGCAACTGTGGTGTCCTAAATGTATCAATTATTTGTCTCTTTTAAAGATTTACTACTCTCTATTTTCTGTGATTTGAGTAACTCGATTTATAGATCATTGTCCCTTAAAATAACCATATGAGGCTGTGAAATACTGGGCCTTAAAGACAGGAAAATCTTACTTTTGTGCGTTCTGTTTTTCTTTTGAATAAAATTTGCTAAGTCATCAATGTATAGTGCTAACATTAAACATTTATCTTTTTTCAGTTTCTACTCCAAGAAGACTCCGTTTTAAAACGCTGGGATCAGGGAAATTAGCTGTGATGTGGAAAGAGCCACGGGGAGATTTCGAAAGTTACAAAATTGTTTATAACACAAGGCCAGGTAAGATGGCTAGATTCCGTTGCTGAGATATGAATTTTCTTTCTAAAGTGTCCTAGATGTATCATGCTTTGTCTTTTTTATAGATGTATTATTCTCTTTTTCTGTGATCTGGGTGTCATATGTTGTAGATCATTGTAGACTACAGAGATTCTGTAGATGTACTACAATGTAAACATGTGCAAACAGTAGAATTATAAAAATTTACGGTAAACTCCAGGCCAAGAAAGTTAATGTAGTTCTCAAAAGTAATATATTCTAAGAAAACCAGTTCAAAGATACTCTACTAAGAATTTTGTTGATTGGCAATCTGGGGGTGTGGAATACATTTTAGCTGTGGGGGTGGAGGGGGGGGGTAAGTGATATTTTAATTGACCTTATTAGTGGTGGGGTTCCGACTGCGGTCGATTGCTGCTAATGGAAGAGGAGAATTCTCCTGCCAAGATTCGGGAACAACAGTTTTTCTTTAGCCTGCAGGTAGCTTAGCAGGTATCAGCGTAGGCTCAGATCTCCAGTGTGGCTGGTTTAAGACATTGCTGGAACTTTCTGAGCCTTAACCTTAATTGCTCCAGGTGGAATATGCAGCTATATGTACCAGTTACAACTGTAAATGGAACAAAAGTGTTAGAGGAACTGATGATATACAATGGTGGTGAAATACTTGGTGTTGACATCTTCCCGGATTTATTCCATCAGTTTAAGATGTTCTGAAAGATATTTTGGCGACACGATTGGACCTATTACAGGTAACTGGAGATTCTTAGATTTAAAGAGAATTATTCATTTTTAGGACACTGGCACATTTTTTTCCGTCCGGTTCCAAACTACCAGCTTCCATTGATACATTGTTACTTCATTGGTTTTCAGCTTAAATGTTTTTTTCTAGAGTGAAAATAAAATCACAATAAAAAACACCACAAGGCACACGACATATAAGTGTCCTCCACTTAGAATATTAATTGTAGTCCACTTGGTGGATGGCAGTCCTTTAAAATATAGTTTTGATAACAGAAATATAGTTCAGGAGGGACAGAAGTGGATTTTAGCGAAACCTGGAAACTAATGACACAGAAAGAGAGACCCGTGTCTTTGAAGCTCCTAGCAGATGTAGTTTTATGTCCATTTCATGGTTACTTGTGATCCAGCCCGGCTCGCTGTCCTTCTTTCTGTGTCATTTAGATGACCGTGACTGAGCGTGTCAGCGGACTGTATTCCAGTGTCCTCTTTGTCACTTTCAGAGCATAAAACCATGATCTGTGCTGAGACGATGCCGGTGTCGTGCTGGAAAATGCTCCTCGAGAATCAGCTTATGCATATTTTTGATATATTTTCACCAATTGGTGAATAATTCTTTTCTTTATTATACTCTGAAGTGGCTGTGCAACAGCTATATATGCTAATGCATTCTTAGTGGTGCTGGGTCTCTTAACGCTGAGAGAGTCCTATTAATGCTGAAGGTGTTTATTTGATTCTCGTGGACAGAATAGCTGTAGATTAAGGATATCGGATAAGAATAGCTGTAGATTAAGGATATCGGATAGCCGCTTCCTCTGCGAGTCCTGGGCTTGATTCACAGTCAGGGGTCTCTTCCGTGTTATTACCAAAGCCCCCCCACCATCCTGACTACCCCAGGTTTCCTGGGCTCACGAAACCAGCAGCGTAAATCAAGGCTAAGTTTCTAGCTCGGCGTTCACAGTTCTGTTTCAGAGCGTCTGTTTCCAGCTCTTTGTTTTCGCAGTGATTTATCTGCTAGTCATTTCTGGAGAGTGTGGTGTTTGCTGGGAGACAGGCCTAAGGCTTCATGAGATGTTCAGATATACTCCGCGTAACAGTCGTGGAGAGACCATGTTATTGTCTTCCTGCAGTATTGTTTGGTTTCTCACGCATTACATCTAATATCCTGCCCAGTTTTTTTTGGGGGAACTGAAATTCATCCATTCATTCTGTATGGTTTATCACAGACTGTAGTTGTTTCCATCCCCCCCAGGTTTTGGAGGAGGGGTTGGTAACTTCCCAAAAAACAGAAATAAATATTTTCCAGCCAGACCTTTTAAGTGACCCTTGACGTCTGTGCTTTCAGGTCTTAACAAAAATGGAACCCCCCCCCACCCCCCCTCCTGTACGTGTCAAAAGGTTGGGGACTCCTACAGAATAGGGTCATGGGGGGCTTATACTAGGAAGCACTTATATTATATTTATATTAGGAAGTTGCAGGACACACATGATAAGTTTAATTCCAGTCCCCATTGGATTGTGGGAAAGACCAGAATGGCTGGAGGAAGCCCAGAGATCGTAGGGAGAGCGTGTCAATCCAGGGCTGTTTAAGGTGACTGTGTTACCCACTGAGCCACTGTGGCTCCTTGTTATAATATTTGAGGTTGTTAAGTGAACCATCCATTGTCTGAAACCACTTATCCCATTCAAGGTGGCAGGGGGTCTGGAGCCTATCCCAGATACTACAGGCACAAAGCCAGGATGGGACACCAACCCATTGCAGGGCACACACACATCACTCACTTACACACACACATCACTCACTTACACACACACATCACTCACTTACACACACACATCGCTCACTTACACACACACCCATATGGGCAGTTTGGTAACTGACACGGGGAGAACATGCAAACTCCACACACGGAACCCTGGTGGAGACTCGAACCCAGGACCCAGAGGCGTAAAGTGGCTGCGCTATCATGCCACCCCATTAAGTGATCACTTTGGGGAAAAATTAAGTTTAATCCACATAGAGTGTAATGCGTTGAGTCTAATGAAAAAACGATTTGAATCGGAAATCCTGTTTAAGTGTCTGCAATATCGCTGCATTGATTTGAAACCACTGACTCGGATTTATATGGAAATCGCCCAATAAAGCGCACCAATCGATATGCACCAATCGATATGCACCAATCAGATTGACAGAGCAAGTACGATTACTGTATATAACTGTATTATTTTCTTATGTTAAGCTGAACTTTCCCATGTGGGGAAATTACTATTCTGCAGTTGGTCTGGGGCATAGAGCAAGTTTAACAATGACATAATAGTCATGTGGTAAATCAAATGCAATGCAAAACGTAAACGCAACAGTACAAAATTCACTATAATAAAATAAGATGGGATATATTGAAGTGAAACTAATATCAGTTCTGGATCAGATCACTAGGGGGCGCTATGGAGGTAGCCGGCATTTGGAATTAGGGAGCCCCAGAAACTCATTTGGGTGTGCAGTAGTAGCTGCTGCTGACTAATGGTGCTCCAAGAAAGTGTTTTGTTGAAAGGATGAGCACCTATGCTCATTATGGTGGTAAGTTCATCCCCCCTTCCGTTGCTCCTCTGGTGCATCTACGAACAGCTCTGTCACTGATACCACAGGGCGATAAAGCATAGCCAAGAGTCCATTACGGACGGTAAGGGACCTGAGTCTCCTCGGGAAATAAAGCCTGCTCTGTCTTTCCCTGCAGGCCGTATCAGTGTTATCTCTTCAGTCCAATTTATTTCTGAGATTCGCGGATATTAGTTGGTTTGCATCACCTGCAGTATTTCCCTCTCCAGTGTGATTTGGGATGCAGCCTTAGCAGGACGTTTGGAGTTGACCCCCATCCTCAAAGTCTCGCTGATCTTTAGTGGCAGGTGCTTGTCGTCTCATTGTACATCAAAGTTCCCGGTCAAGTTCCAGTTTCCTTCCCCCCTCCCCTGTCAGTGTGGCCCCCAACAGCTTGGAGCTGGTGGAGTTTACGTAGAGAAGACTTGCCACTGTCATTTTCAGTCCTCTCCCAGCACCACCCTCCCCTCACCTTCATTTCTCTCCACTTTCCATGTGCTGCGTTACTGCATATGGGGGGGTGGGGTAGGGGGGGTGCAGCCTTAATCTATAAGCCACCCGGCTCTGGGAGGGATCTGGGCTCTGACTTGTCCGGACTGCTAATGCGATGCTGATCGAGCGAGGCTCGCCATCCAATTCACGTGGCTTTAAATCGGCCCGATTGGTCGATAATTGAGGGAGGGGCGTGTGGTTTTGCTGAAGAGGAGTCGACGATGGGGCCTGCTTTTGTGGTGATGGCCTCCATCGGCTGGGGAGGAGGTTGCATGAGGCTGAAGGAATGCCAAACACACTTTTTATCCCACAGTGAAACAGAAGATTGTTTTTTTTTTTTGGGGGGAGGGGGGGGGTCCTCCATCTGTCCCCAGACAACCTCATATCATGTGCATTCAGCTGAGAGCCTGTTGTCTTCTTTACTCATTGAACTTAATGCTGACTGTGATTCTTTGATTTATTTTCATTTGTAATTCTCCCCATGTCCTTGTACTATATTCTTTTCATTAGAAGTTCCCTGGATATGCGAGTTAAGAGCTAAAAAATTTTATTTGTATGCGTCAAAATCTTATAAATATTTATAAGGTATCTTGTCCAGCTTCAGATGTGGACGTCTTTCGTATTAATCCTGCTCAGTGGTAGAGAAGACTTCAACCACAGCTCAGAAAAGTGGTTTTATTTTTTAAACCTTAAAAGAGGTGAGTCCTCTTTCTGAGCTCGAGTAAGGACTGCTGGCAAACTGTGTGGACCTGATTTAGTGGTAGATTGCTAATGGCTGTGCATATAAGCTGAAGACTGATGCGATTCCCTGGAATAGGGCTTTGAGTCCCTTTGAGCGGAGTGTCCCGTCTTCAGCCGAGCGGGCGGATTTTACGTGATGCCGTTTAGGTCGCATAGTCGCGAGTCGTCGGACATCTGACCGAGTGCGTGGGTCCGGTGTCCCGCTGGGTCACACTTGTTACAATAGATTTTGGGTTTGGGTGTTTGTTGGGGGTGGGGGTCTACTGGCTCTGTGGGTGTCAACGGCATCCAGTATGAAGGTGATGATGACGACAATGAACAGAGGAATTTAGTTTGTGTGTTTTTAAACAGCAGAGGCCTGAAGTATTGATTCCAGGTTTGGTGTTTTTGTCTTTCTGTCATAGGAGGACAGCAACAGGTGTTGCGCATACAGAAGGGCGAGAGTCGAGCAATAATACACAATTTTGACCCTTCTAAGGAGTATATAGTGAGAGTTATTTCTTTGAAAGGAAACCAAGAGAGCAAACCGCTAATTGGGAAATTCTCAGGTAAGTGAAGAATTTGCCGCCAGTAATATCTTGGATTTTGTCACTGCTTCAGTTCTGCTTCGAAACTTTTCATTGTTGCCAGTAAATATAATATAATATAATATAATATAATATAATTTAATATAGTTATATAGCTTTAGTTATAATACCAACAGCTTGTACTGCAAATATGTAGGAGATCAAGTCAGCATCCTGGGTGTTCTTATGAACTTCTCCTCATATACAGAAGATTCTTTATTCTGAACACCAGCAGCAAAGTTTACATCTCTCCAGGATTAACTGTGTTATGTTCCTGGGTCTCTCCAAAGTCAACGCCGAATGACTTACTCTGCAAAACAGCACATGTTCGTTTATTTTAAAAACACAGGACTTTTTTTTTTTTTGCTTGGTTTGCTTCTGGAGTTTGGGATATTAGACATTGTCAATCTCAACCAAAATGTAAAACTTTATTTAAATAAAATAGTATAGTCAAAATAAATACTCTATCACTTGTGATGTTTATGGATATCGAAAAAAATAATGAAAAAAGCTCAGGCCTAATTTTCTGTGGTGACCAAAACAATTTTGGCACAGAATAGCCTCTAGCTTCCCTCTGTGAAGAATTGTTCCCTTAATCACAAGAAACACAGCCAGAATCTGGCTCTCGGACCACCAGCCGCAGCGTTGCGACTGTGGATTCAGCCGTTCCTCACGGAATGGCCTGAAACGGTCGTTCTCTTTGTTGCAGCCCGAGCGCCTGAGCTTGCGGAGGTTGTGCAGCCAAATAAGCTGACAGACAGCAGCATCATTGAGGACGTCAATGAGATCTCAGGAGGTAAGATATCAACCATCCAGCTTCTGCTATTTAGAACAGTGTACAGGGGTGGCGTGAACGTCCATTTAAATATTTTATATTAATATAAACAGACTCCTGTTTCTCTCTGACCCTTCCCCCAATAGCTCCCACACCGGGTCTCGCATCTGTAAACCTGATAGCTGTCATGTTTTCACAGTCTGCTCCCCATTTGCTAAATTCTAAATGGCCGTCTTTCCTACTCATTCCTCCGCTACGGTTTGTAAAATACCAAACGCAAAGTCCCCGCTCTGACGTACCATCCTCACGTCACATGGATCTGCTCACCATTCTGACAGGAGAAACTCCTATAATCACGTTGCACCGTAGTTACTTGGGGCCAAATCAAAGTACAGGCTCTAACGGTATTTATGGGTGGCATAAAGGACAGTATCTGGATTACTCGACGCTCAGTTATAACCCAGACATGTCTAACAAATGATATGTTGGTAAGATGACGAGGTCCCTTAATTTGACAGTTTAGATGCTGACTTTTAAAACTTTAAAACCACACGTATAAAGAAAAAAGAATTTTCTTGTAACACAAGCCATTCATTGGCATGTATTTACCATTTGTGTTTAACCCAATATATACTAAAAGATTTTTTTTATACAGTAGCTGGGTACATTATTACAGGGCTCAGAGAAACTGGACTTATAATGTTAGGTTACCGTGACGCAAGACGAATGATGTCTGGATTGCATTTCTGCAGAACCTATTCGGATGGCCATGCAACTAGAGGATTATCTACATGCGAATAATGGTTATGTTCTTGTTAGAACCCAAAAAATGGTCAAAACACTTTATCGGTGCCGTCGTGCTTGAGATTTTAATGAGTTGTGGCACCCGAAGCTAGTTGTTAGCATTCATGTGCAATCTGAACCCCCTCTTCTTGCTGAGAATGCTAAGGTGATGCAAGAGGCTCAACACGGAGCTCAGAGTGTACAGGGCACCCAAAGTCCACCGGTCAATGGAGGGGGGGGGGGCTTTCAGTGTCAGGGCCCCCTCTGGGTCTGCATGCACTAACGCTCTTTCATTAGCACACCTCTGTGTTATCCTGCCAAGCCAGTGGGGTTTGAGTGAAGCCTTCATCCCAGGGAGAAGAGAGAGCTTACCGCGCTTTTCTCAAGCTGACAAATGAACTGACTTGTACGAGCACTGGCAACCCATCCTCGAGCTATGGGAAGGAGATCAACGGCAAGGCAAACTCCTTTCAAAGTCAATACGTTGCCATATAAGTGGGAATTTGATCTCCTGCTGCAGTCATCAGATTTGAAGGCCGTTGAATTGAGTTTTCAGCCAAAGCATGTTTTTTTTGGTAAACCCTGGCCCAGGATTCATGGGCATTACGTTTGGATCTAATCTTCAGCGGTTCCATAATTGAAAAGAACTTTCAAGAAGGTATCCTCTTTGTCTTCCTGTACAATAAATGCTTTCAGCTCGCTGTGCGACAGATGTTTTAAACAACGTCTGAAATGTATATCTTGGAAAAAAGACCTTGCTTTGGTGCGCTCGATCAAGACCCCTGATTTTCCACCACAAGTGAGTATGCTGGACTCGACTCACGTTGGCACATATCAGAGATGAACTGTCTGAAAAAACTGAAAGCGGGGTCTGTCAGGACCGCATCCGATTGGGCCACTGGGGACCTGTGACCATCTGATTGGATATACGACTCATCACAGCGTGTTACGTGATGGTGGGAAGAGCAAAGCAAAGGTAAGCTTTTCTCACTCCTGATTTTCTCAGCTGAGCAAGGTTAAGCGCACATGACGTGTGATCAAAGAGGTTAAAGCGCAGATATCAAAGGGACTAATTAGTGGCAGAAACTGAGTTTTCTTTTAGTAGCTGAAATTCACTCTCTATGTGGTGTTTTTTTTCTTCATGTCAGTTAAATCTTTGTTTTCACCTCTGATGCATTTATCTAAGGGGGGGGGGGTGAAAATGACTTTTGGGTACCATGTTGTCTCTGTGGAGACAGGAAACTCTGAACATCTGGGTGGGGTTACCTTCGGGGGAGTGATGTGTTTGGAGGACAAAGTCGGTTAAAGCTCCTTCCTGGTTTGCCTTTGTCCAAACCAGCGGTTAAACCCTCCAGAGGTCGGGAGTCAGACCCTCGCAGACGTAACCTGCTGTAATAGCAGGGGGAAGAAGCCTCTGATGATGGGCTTGAACTGCCTCCTTTGTTAAAGAGCAGGGCACTTAGTGACAGTTCCAGAGGAATTGCAGCGCCTACTAATCTAATGTAATGAACACAGTGAGCTGAAATACATGAGATAAACGGCGCCCTTTAGCCCCTGGGGTTTCATAATGCTGACGGCTTTCCTGCCCCCTACTCTTGTAGACGGGAAGAACGACCTGGGAAGTGATGCACCGCTTAATCAGGGCCCCCGTGCATCAGGGCCCCCGTGCATCAGGGCCCCCGTGCCCTCAGCCAGGCAGCTGCGTGTCCCCTTTCGCCTTGAGCTTCTACAGTGTTTAATACACCGAGCCCAGGAAGGAAGATCCACAAACAGAAACACCTTGCCGGTCTCCATTGACGCGCTCAATCTGTGCTGCACGGATCCCGGCGAGCGTTTGCGTCAGAAATGTTGGTGTAGCAGCGTTGGTATCCGGCACCAGCAAGGAGCTGGAGTCAGGTCACACAGCTGCAGCATCTGGGCACTGAAACACAGCTACGCTTACCGTGGCTGTTTGATTATTCCCTCCACCACACATTTCAATAACAATAAAAAAAAAAAATGAAAATCTAATTACTGTTAATTCTGGGTTTAGGACCGGCTGTCACCAATAGGCAGGAGCAGAGTGATGTAATTATGCCCCTCATTATGAACTCAGTTATGCTCTAGTGTCCCTAAAATGTTGGTCGGACTCTGAGGGCCTAATAAACACATCCATTGGTGCAGTTCACGTCCGGCCAGCTACTTTCCCACAACATTTCAAACTTGCGGCCAACAGTCGACAGAACAGCTGCCCTCCAACCCCGTTTACTGGTTTAACTCACTCTTTAAGCAGATTGTTGAAATTAGTCTCCAGTGAGTACAGAGAGAGGATGAAAATCCTGACGTTCCCCCTTAATCTGGCGTCGATGGCTTTGAGCATGTGAAGTTTGCTTTTGATTACGTTCCTAACTCGGGGAGTAATCTTCGCGGCCATATGGCCACCGGCACCTGGGGCCTTCTGCTGACTCCCCCTGTTGGACGTGTCGTGGAATCGCACCCTCCTCACACACGCTGAGCCGCTGCTACGGATCCTTCTACCACGCCCGCTGCCACCTTGGCATTCGGCGCGTTGTGTTCTGTTTGTGCATTTCCGGGTGCTCCCAAGTGCCCCGTCCCTTTCGTGTGGTCGCGTCACGCTCGAGGAAGCTCTGAAGCATGGGAGAAGGATCTGTCACGGATTATGGACGGATCGGTCACGGAATGGGGCGTAAATTGCAGCTAATGGGCATTAGTCTTGATTTAATAATCGCTGTGGTTAACGATGTGTGGGAGGCCGTGAGTGTGCTTCTGGGGGGGGGCACAGCGTTTGGCATGAGTGATGTGGGTACAGTAGTGACTGGTGCCTTGGGGGAGACGGCTCCCCCTTTTCATTTTGTCATTTTGGATGAAAAACTGCTCTTTTCCTAGCAGCTGCGTGGAATGTCGAGTTATTAGGGAACATGTCTATTTCTGATGTCACTGACTTTCACACCCATATGTGTCGTGCGTGAATGATGGATGGTGGTATTTCTGCGTATCTAGTTGGCAGATCAGTTGACAGACTTTCTGTTTTCGAGAAGCCGGTGGAGATCGGTCCCTCGAAGATCCTGGCCTGGGTTGTAAATGCTGGCCTGTCTTGTTCGGTCTTCCACAGGCACGAAGGTGACACATCGCCGTCACGTGTCACGCTGTATTCGGGTAAGCGCCCTGGGGACATCGACTAAAAGGTCCCACGTGGGGGCCTAGCTGAGGTAATCCCTGAAACGAACCAGAGCAGCTTCTCCAAGTGTACAGCTGTGAGCGAAAACTGCACCCCCAAGACTTCAGGAGAAGAATAATGTTAGACGATGTCTTTATTGAGACTGATGGTATAACAAGGGGCCTATTCTGGGAATTCATAGCTGGTGGTGCGTGTCACAGATCACACGCGTGTCCTCCTGCCTCGGGGAGAGCTTTGGCTGCCTTGGCCCTCTTCCGTGGAGTTTGGATCTCGTTAGCTCTCCGAAACCTGTGGTGCGTCAGTCTGTCCCTGGCCTTCTGTCTCCTTTTCCCGTAAACGGGCGACAGACCCAAGGATCTGGCGTGCTGGTACTTACTGTCGATTCAAGGGTGTCCTTTATGCGCTTTGAGTTCTTTTAGCTAGAGATGGATGGAGTTTGCTACCCCAGCGTGACGGTCTAAAGCCAGGCGAACCCGATTCCAAATACATTTAAAAAATACAGAGGGGATCTAACAGCCAGATTCCGTAATAAAAACAGGTTGATACATAATAATCACAGTGAGCATTAGATTAGTTTTTAGCCCTTAAAACAGCGAGCAGCACAAACACAAGCCAGTAAGACCAGTAGAAGAGGATATGCTCACAATTCTGCCAGCTGGTGGTGGACTTTAATTGAACTGGACCTGCACTGCCAATGCGTTTTTAATTAATGGTAAGATATTCCATCTGGATCAAAATATTATTGAGTTTGAAAAGCAGACTTCTCTTTTTAAACTGCTGATTGTATTCCTTGAATTCAGAACAAAATTTAAAAATGCATGATCCATAAAATTGAATTATTTTATTTTCGCAGCTGTTAGTGACACATCTGGGCTGGAACCAATGGGTTCTTGTTTGGCTAATCTAGACCAATAGGTTCTGGTATATTATTGGGTGATTGGCTGAAATCCTGCACGTTCCGTACTCTCCAGCGCTGAGAGGAAGATAAGGTATTTACTTCATACCCGTTAGCGCTCCGATGATGGGCTGTAGGTTGATATTCGAGCTTATCGACGTGCTC